ACAGTTGCCTGTAGAGGAGAGCATACATACAAATGGAATTATCCAACACACAAATATATATATGGCTTTAGTTGTCCTTCCTGCTTTCTAAGCTTCTTCATTGCTAAGACTTTGCGAGCTGTCTCTATCCATTCTTCACATTGTTATATTCTCTGTTGCTTTATTACTCCCTCGCTTGTCTTGTCCTCTTTCTTTTCCCATTTTACCCATAACGTCAGCACCTTTATTCCTACTGACAGCCCGGCCTCAGCAACAAATGTCAAATGCTGTTTATTCCTATCTTTTTTGACTGGTAAGCACTATACTCACCACTCATAACTGTTGACGTTCCAACTCTTCTGGAACAGTGCTGTGCTGACGTCCTCTGTTCGAATCGCGTTTCAGGTAATGCTTCACCATGATAACTATCGCGAGGAGACATTCACAGATGGGGTTAATAGAACAAGAACTCGGCCAATGTGTTGTTATAGTGGCCAGAATACGTCTGGGATATGGACGTATCTGGCAGCTTTCTCAAAAGCCAGATCTCGAGTACACAATGTGTCAACTTTGTGAAAGAGAAAACATGCACTCTCTTGAACATTATATTGTAGAATGTCCGATATTGACTGATTTTCGCCCTCCTGGGCTGAGGTATGCTGAACTCTATACTATATGAATACTGGAACACTTGATGATATATTGGACTTGTACCAGATTGACCATGTTTTTTATCAATTATACAATGTACGTATGTGTTGTAAGTGTATAACCTGAGCCTGTAAAAGCATCTTAATAACCTTCAGTGGTTAAGTGCTTAATAACACACTAGTTTCTATATCAGCTATCTTACCCTGTCAGAGTAGGAGAGACATAAATGTATGTGTATGTATGTATGTATGTATGTGTATATGTGTGTATGTACGTACCATAAGACGTAACTCTGTGTATCTATGTATTTATGTCTGTAGGTTAGATTAGCATTTTAAAAGCACTACAATCACCTTCTGTGGTTGATTGTTCAATAAATCACTGAAGTCTATGTTTAACACATCTCTAACCCTGTCCATGGAGGACAGAAGAAAATGTATATATGCGGTTTAGCATTATAAATGGCCACGTCTGTGGTAGAAAATAATAATAAAAATAAAATGCTTCACCCACATAAATTACTACAAACTACAAATAATTACCAACAGAACCTAAACAACTAGCCTAACCTAAATTAGCCCTAACTATACACCAAATTCTAATATATAGTATATGTATGAAAAATATCCATTTTGAATACAAATTACATTAAAACTTAAGAATGTGTCTTTGGGATCGGTCACTGCTTGGACGAACCCCCTGAAGACGAATCGCGTATTAGAATATATAAAGCATTCAAATATATTCTCACTTTCCGATCCAGAGTTCGCTTAATTGAATATAAGCAGGCGATAAGTCACAATAACGTGGCTAAAGTATGATGACCAGACCACACACTAGAAGGTGAAGGGACGACGACGACGACGTTTCGGTCCGTCCTGGACCATTCTCGAGTCACACAATCGACTTGAGAATGGTCCAGGACGGACCGAAACGTCGTCGTCGTCCCTTCACCTTCTAGTGTGTGGTCTGGTCAACATTAAATATCAACTTGAATAAATCCGAACCTTTGTTCACTAAACCTCATGTTTAAATTATACACTTTCCAAAGAGCCACTTGTTAATGGTGTTCACTGCTCTCTCGCCTTTTACACGCTGTTGCTAACTTTCTCACGTTTGGTGAGCGTGTCAGTGTTGAGTCAGCCGCCACAACCTCCATTATTACCATCCGTGTATAACACCACAAGACCCCGTCATACGGCTCCAGTATTATGGTTGACTTACTGTTTCCCTCTAGTGGCTTGATACGCTTCCCTTTCCCCCCAGTGGCTTTACATTCTTCCCTTTCCCTCTAGTGGCTTGATACGCTTTCCTTTCCCTCTGTGGCAATCAACTGGTGTACAGATTCCTGAGCCTATTGGGCTCTATCATATCTACACTTGAAACTGTGTATGGAGTCAGCCTACACCACATCGCTGCCTAATGCATTTCAACTGTTAACTACTCTGACACTGAAAAAGTTCTTTCTAATGTCCCTGTGGATCATTTGGGTACTCAGTTTCCACCCTTGTTCGCGTATCACCCTGTGTGTGTGTGTGTGTGTGTGTGTGTGTGTGTGTGTGTGTGTGTGTGTGTGTGTGTGTGTGTGTGTATTCACCTAGTTGTATTCACCTAGTTGTGTTTGCGGGGGTTGAGCTGAGAGAGAGAGTGAGCTGAGTGTGTGTGTGTGTGTGTGTGTGGACCAGCCCATTAAGTAATTAGCCATGAGGCTCCCATGATACAGTGTGGCGACACTGACAATATTTTCTAACGTGACCCTGAGTAATCGGGGAGATTATATCTAGCTGAGATTTTTATCACATAATTCTTCAAGACGTAAAGTTAAAAATTGTAATTAATTATATAATATATTGGGATTTTGGCCTAGGTCCTGTGTGTGTATACTCCTATTTGTGCCTACAGGGGTTGAGTACTAACTCTTGGATCCCGCCTTTCTAGCCGCAGTTGTTTAATGAGATGATTTCTCTTCTATTTTCTTATCTACTTATCTACTTATAAAACTATGAATTGAGTTTGCTTGCACAACCTGCTACATTTGTTCATTCCATTTTCCCACTACTTCTCACGCAAAATGTAAACTTTCTAACATCTCTATGACTCATTTTTTTTTTTTTTTGAGATATATACAAGAGTTGTTACATTCTTGTACAGCCACTAGTACGCGTAGCGTTTCGGGCAGGTCCTTAATCCTATGGTCCCTGGAATACGATCCCCTGCCGCGAAGAATCGTTGTTACAACCAAGTACACATTTTACTGTTAAGTTAAACAGAGGCTACAGTTAAGGATTTGCGCCCAGTAAATCCTCCCCGGCGAGGATACGAACCCATGACAAAGCGCTCGCGGAACGCCAGGTGAGTGTCTTACCACTGCACCACGGAGACTGGTAAACTCATCTGAGTTTAAAGGTTCCATCCATGTTCCCTTGTTATGTTGGTGTTCAGCGTGTGAACATTTCAGCTGTGATGACTAGACATCTTCACCAGAAGATGAAGAGACGACGATGTTTCGTTCCGTCCTGGACGGACCGTTATCAAGTCTCATCTATTTCCATCCTCTCAATCCTCCTAAGTATTTTATGCATTTCTATCATATCTCTCCGCTCCCTCCTTTTTTCTACTGACGTCAGGTTCAGTTCTTTCTGTCGCTCTTCATACCTCATCCCTCGCAATTCTGGGACGAACCTCTTCGCAAACTTCTGAACCTTCTTCAGTTTCCTTGTGTGTATCTTCAGGTAGGGGCTTCATGATGGGGCAGTATATTCTAAAACTGGTCTCACGTAAGCAGTGTAAAGTGCTTTAAATGCCTCCTTACTTAGGTTTCTGAATTATGTTCTAGCTTTTGCTAGTATAGAGTATGCTGCTGTTGTTATTCTATTTATATGTGCCTCGGGAGTTAGAGTTGGTATTACATCCACTCCCAGGTCTCTTTCTCAAGTCGTCACAGGTAAGAAGTTTTCCCCTCATTGTGTACTGTCCCTTTTGTCTCCTGTCACCTAGTTCTATTTCCATCACTTTACAATTGCTAGTGTTGAACTCTAGTAGCCATTTCTTCGACCATCTCTGCAGCTTGTTCAAGTCCTCTTGGAGGATCCTACAATACTTACCTGTCACAACTCTTCTCGTTAACTTCGCGTCACCCGCAAATATCGACATATAAGACTCAATTCCTGTCGACATGTCATTTACATAAATTAGAAATAGAAATGGTCCCAGCACCGATCCTTGAGGTACTCCACTCGTTACTGTTCACCAGTCCGACTTCTTGCCCATTGCTGTTACTCTCTGGCTCCTGTCTGTTTGGTAATTCCTTACTCAGGTTAGGGCTTTCCCACTTACTCCCACCTACCTCTCAAGTTTGTATAGTAATCTCCTAAAACAGTACTATATCGAAGGCCTTTTGGCTGTCCAGAAATATGCAATCTACCCATCCTTCCCTGACCTGCCTTATTCATGTTACTTTATCATAGAATTCCTGAAGGTTTGTTATACATGATTTCCTCTTCCATGAACCCATGTTGGGGTTTGTTTGCATACTTAATTCTCTCAAGTGTTTAACTATCCTTAACCTGATTATTCTTTCAAGTACCTTGCAGGGGGAAGTCTGTCATTGTTACCGGTCTCTAGTTAAGTGCCTCTTCTCTCTCTCCTTGAAAATCGGTACCACATTTGAGTTCTTCCAGCAACTGGGCAACTCTTCCTTCATAAGAAGTAAGAGCAACTCTCCCTTCGTAGGAAGTAAGAGCAACTCTCCCATCGTAAGAAGTGAGAGCAACTCTCCCCCTCAAACTCACTCAAGATCCTTGATAGAGGCACGCTGAGGGCCTGTGCTGATTCTTTTAGTATCCACGGTGATACACTGTCTGGCCCGTCTGCTTTAGTTTCATCCGGTGCTGTTAGTGTGTGTGTGTGTGTGTGTGTGTGTGTGTGTGTGTGTGTGTGTGTGTGTGTGTGTGTGTGTGTGTGTGTGTGTGTGTGTGTGTGTGTGTGTGTGTGTGTGTGTGTGTGTGTGTGTGTGTGTGTGTGTGCGTGTGTGTGTGTGTGTACTCACCTATATGTACTCACCTATATGTGCTTGCAGGATCGAGCATTGACTCTTGGATCCCGCCTTTCCAGCTATCGGTTGTTTACAGCAATGACTCCTGTCCCATTTCCCTATCATACCTAGTTTTAAAAGTATGAATAGTATTTGCTTCCACAACCTGTTCCCCAAGTGCATTCCATTTTTCTACTACTCTCACGCTAAAAGAAAACTTGCTAACATCTCTGTGACTCATCTGAGTTTCTAGTTTCCACCCATGTCCCCTCGTTCTGTTATTATTACGTGTGAACATTTCATCTATTTCCACTTTGTCAATTCCCCTGAGTATTTT